TTTATTACTGTATCAATAAGTGGTAACTAAATAAATCATTATCATCAAAGTTCTAAGTCGTTTATGATAGAGCTTCTTTGTAAACGACGTTAGAAGTAGGCTTAGCCGGGGTGTACACAAAAAGGTTACGGGGGCTACTAACGCGGGAAAAAGCAACATAGAGTTGAGCATGTGCAAAACAGTCAGTACTGAGGTACACTCCTACAACGCGTAAAGTTTGACCTTGCGCTTTATTTACGGTCATCGCATAACACATGCTCACTGTAACTGGGAACTGAACGCGCTTAAAACTGAAAGGAAAGTTACTTCTTAATAGAGGGTTTTTGGGCAGTGCTGCCAGCTAAAAAAAAAACTCATTCAGCTCTAGGACAACACAAAAAGCGCTGGATTTCATGAAAACAGCGCTTTAAAAAAGCCCTAGATTTCGCGCTAAATTAACTACAAACAAAGTTTGTGTTTTTTTATATAATCATAATAAAGAAAACAACATTAAGTTTTTTTCTGGCAATATTTTTTTGATGTATCAATACTTCGCAGGACATCGACTTATAATTATATTAGTACTGTACGAACAATAAAAATGTCATTAATTGTTTTAAAGTGCAATGTATTTCGCAACTTAGTTTCAGATGTCAGCATCTGATTGCGGTTGCTACACAGTTTCTTTGTGTTATAACTTCTAAGTAACTTTTAACTTAGCTGTGCTCTAAGCAACTGACTGAAACTGAATAAAGCAAAATAAATGCGTTGCCAAAACCATGAACGAAAACTTTAATAAAAGGGATTTCCCCGCTTATAGTCGTCGTTAAAAAAATCAAGTTGATCATCCTAAAGGGGAAGCCAGGAGATCCATAGCACAGGGTATCCTAGTTTGGACTTGTCTCCCATGCTCTTTGCTTTGTGGAAAAAATATGTTTGAAAAAGATAAACTGCAATGTACTATTTGTGGGAAAAAATAATAAAGGTCATTATTATTATTATCGGTAATGTGGACTAACAGTGCTGCTATAAAAGAGTTAATAACCCGCTAGTCGCTAAAATATTGAAATGTGTGCTAAATACACCAAAAAGCGCTGGATTAAGCTAGGTGCTAAAATTACGAAATGCGCGCTATACATTCCAAAAAAGGGCTAAATCTAGTTCCCAAAGCGCTAAAATGGCAGTACTGATTTTGCGTATATTATAAATACAATATCACATTTCATCATCAAAACATCCTTTTTAAATCGCTTTTTGTGTTTTAAGTATATTAATTATTATGGAACGTTTTTTTACACACAAATCTTTTTATTACTATTTCTGAGATTTTATGGCGCCATTGAACAAATTCGAACCTACATTTCAAAATAATAATCATTACTTTCGATAGAATTAACCAATTTTTATAAAACAAAGATTAAATGTAACTCGAAGATACGCTTTATGATTTTCTTAACGATTTCTTTGAAAATAAAAGATGTTTACTTTAGACGTGATGCGTTCATATAATAACAGACAAATAGACAGACAGACAATTCTAATAATTATAAAATGTTCTTATTTAATTATTTTCAGTTCCCCATAATGATTTTAGCCACCAAAATATATATACAATGTACAGAAAGAGACACAACATGTTATCATCATTTTTATTATATGTATATATTTAAAGAGAGATGGCGCTGCTAACATCAATTCTAAAAATAAAAGAGATTAATTGACGCGATTGATATATTATATAAAACGCAAGAGAACTTATAAATCAGTGTCTGCACAGTAAGCAAAAAATAAAGTTTGACTCTCGCCAAAACCAACGCAATTGTTAATAGCTCTTTTAAAATTTGATTTACCACATAGAGTACTCGGCGGTAAAGAATAAATTGAGTTTGTCAACACGCAGTAGGGCAGGGAGTAATATAATAAAGATTAGCAGTAAATATGAAAACTCATCTACCGGAAAAAACCACATTTGCAATTGCAATACATTTTCACAACACCACCATCTATCGAAGAAATGGGTTAACTATTGTGCTTCAGATTTAGTTAATAAGGTTAATATATTTTTGTATAATATATTTAATACGTTCTTTAATACTTTTGTTTACTGCGTTTTAGATATACATAATTATATCATTATTTTACATAATTTAACTATGATTTATGATATGATATTAGTTTAAAATGCACTTGATGACTCAAACAAAGCCACCGTTGAGCAAATTCGTACCTATACTTCCCTACCCATACTTCAGAATATTTATCATAACTTTTGATGGAATGAACTGATTTTAATGAAATAAAGACTAAATGTAACCCGAAGATACACTTTATAATTTCCTTAACAATTCTTATGATATAAATTAGTACTTTATACGTGATACGTTAACAAACAAACAGACAGACAGACAGACAGACAGACAGAAAATTCTAAAAATGGTAGAAATGTATTTAATTACTTATTTTTAGTACCCCTCAATCACTTTTATTACAAAAATATAAAATGTACAGACATCTGCTATTTACAGTTTTATTATATGTATAGATTACAAAAAAATAATAATTAATAATTAAATACATAAAAAAAATTAATTTTAACATTGGACTTAAATATCTTAAACTTAATAGTTTAAGTAAGGAAACTTGTAGCAATCAGTTAAACTTATTTAGCTCTGTTTAAAGGCCAATAAATTTATGTGGCTACTCTCTCTTTCTTTCATCTATCCCTGAAAAATAAGGAACTTATTATCATTTTAGCTGCATGAATTTAAAATCATAATGATCTTACACAGACTAGCCAAATACACAGGAAATATGAAAGTGTACCAGGTATCTGTATTGTATGGTATCTGTATCTATACAGATGCACCGTCTATTCTCTCAATCTCGGTATGTTAAGAAAACGGTGACCCATCCATGGACTGAATGTGACAAGTGCAACTTAATCTCGCAGAACTATTGATCCGCGCAGCTGTTAATGAACCACAAGTTCCTCTCCTCTACGCATAACTCCGTAGACAATGAACCACGCTATTTAGTCCTCGACACACTGTCGTCGGGTACGAAGCATAAATCGGGCGTTGTGAGTATCAAATACTATGGAATTTATATTATCCTGGCAAACTGAACTACGCGTCTCATGCGCGGCCATCTAGCGGCGCTTCAGGAGCATTACTAAATATCTATATCTAACTTCCTTTAAAAGTTTTATCATTGTGATTTGGGTATATAATCCGAGGCTCCGCTCAACCCCTTAGGGAAAATAACGTGATGCTATAAATATTGTACTAATGAGACCGTGGGTGCGGCTGGTTAAGTAAGGTTATACATTTTTTTTGATTGATGAATAGATACTCAGTCCGGTTCATAATTGCTTTAATAGGATAATCTCAATTTTTTTATTTTTAATATAAGTACTGCAGTTTTATAATGTATAAAAATTCTATCTCTCTTTTTACCTAAAGTTTTTGAAGTTAAATTTTTGAAGTCTTACTGTAACATTATTATACTCACTGGTCACAAACTATATAGAAACACTACGCGCTGGTACAAATAATGTAGGAATGGTTCCTTTTAATAAAATTGTTTTTATTCTAATTTTTATTGTATACTTCTCAAGAAAATGTTTACTGTAAATTGTTGAGTTCTTTGGATTCCAACCAACTCGTCCAATTAACGTTAACCATATTTGCTAATTATAGAATCTGGACATAATATGTTTGACAAAAGGCAAAAGAAAATTACATTTTAGAACGCAAACCGAGGATTTATTTTCTTGTTGTGTGCGCAAGTCTATCGATTTACTATAAACATTCAAGATAAATATCGACATTAATTTATAATTTCAACTATATCAGTTGAGTCAATCCCTAGCGTACATGTAAAATATTTTGTATTATAATGGATTTACCAAATTCATGCAAATTATCAACAACGTGACTTTTTTCTTTGCAAAATATCAAAATTAACAAAATAATTGAAAACATTCTATATTTTACACAGTATATAACATAAATTTTAACCAAGAATAAACGCGTCATAACATTGACGACGTCTTGAAAATTTACCTGTGAAAGGTGCAATTATCAGGATTAAGTAACCATTTTGCAAAAAAAGTAACTTAATAGAAAGAACCACTATTGCACTCTAAAAAATTACAAAACATCTAAAAGCTATTTCTTGCGTGCCGAATTGTGCCGATCTGTCATTCAAAATCGGTTACGGAGTCATGAAATTTGGTACCTATCCTTTTCTTGCATTTTTGCCATAAGGAATTTTCTTCTCCCTTGCAAACTATGTAGGTCTATACGGCAGTATATTCTAAGTCAATGATGTATACTGATACATAGATGATAGATGACGCTATTTAATAGCGATGCGTCAAGAATGACACCTATGCGTTATTGTACTTTTGTTATTAGCTTAAATCAGGTAAGTATCTAGTAAATATAAAGTAAGTATTTATAAAGGAGGTAGTCAAGTTATGCAGGGGCCGGAGAAACTTTTAAAAATACTAATTAATTAATTAAAAGACGTTAAATCGCTAACAAACTAAGAACTATTCTAAAAACAATTGAATGCAAGCCCACGTAGAAACTCGGCAGTTTTGGTTTATCCACTAAGCATCAATAAAACGCGAGTACGAATTTATAAAACGAAGTTTATGAATCAAACATAAAATTTTTATTAATTTGCTAACCCTTTAAAAGGGTCAACTTATTACATAATTATCCATTTTTGCTTGATCGCAATATTACGTACTACTATTTTATTTAATTGACTATTTTAGAAAAAGAATTAGGGTTCCGCGCAATATAATAAAAACCCTAACATGCTAGCGAAGTCGCAGGGAACGGCTAGTTGTATAATAAGTCCCTGGCTTTAACAACGAAGTTGTACCATGATGCTTATAAACGATGTATCGATTTTTTGAAACATCGATATATTGTTTGCATCCTTAAATTTGACATTGACAATGACAAGTTAAATCATGAAGTGCAAATGACAGATTGGTTATCTCTTTCGCTCTTTCATTTGGTTCTGTTTACGGATTGAAACATGGCTGAGGTTTGTGTTTGCTATTTTATGATTTAATCTTATGTTATTAGATTAATCGTGTGTTGGATCTATTTTCCGAAGACGCTGTTTCGCTGTACGGTCGATATTTGTTACTGTTGTGTGTTTATTTTTTATCAGTGATAATGATAACATTTTACAGGTCGATGAAACCCTCAAGAAGAAACGTACCTTCAGGAAGTTTACCTTCCGAGGCGTTGATCTTGATCAACTTCTTGATATGCCCAAGTGAGTGTTTTTATTATTAATGAATTACTTTGACTTTTTACCTGAAGAGTAGTAGTACAATTAGAATATTGAAGTAGAAAAGTATAACCTCTTGATGTGACCCTTAATATAAACCTATGTAAAATATAATGACTGCGACTCTCCGATTAAAATGTTTACCGTTACATCATTAAAATATCCATAAAAAATGTTTTTCAGTGAGCAACTCATGGAGTTGATGCATGCGCGAGCTCGCAGGCGATTCGCCCGTGGCTTAAAACGAAAACCAATGGCTCTAGTTAAAAAACTGCGCCGCGCAAAGAAGGAAGCGCCTCCTAATGAGAAACCAGAAATCGTCAAGACCCATCTGCGTAACATGATCATTGTCCCAGAGATGGTTGGATCTATTGTTGGTATTTACAATGGAAAGACATTCAATCAGGTTTGTGTCTTATCTTTTTTTACATGTTTAATAATACTATATTGTGCAGAAATCAGCCTGAAATACAAACACAATTTGATGGCTCTTTAATCCTTTAAAACCTATGCCTATATAGATAAGGTTTATATAAACACCAATTTTAATTATTTTTGTATCTAAGCAAGTAGTTAATATATTATATCACCAAAATTTTGCTAATAATGATATCATAGTGTGCTAATGAGGCTTTTCTATAGTAAGGGTGACAAACGAGCACTTAGTCCACCTGATGGCAGGCCTCTGTCACTCTTGCTACCTAAACTCATTACCTAAACTCGTGAGGCACCCCCAAGTTAGAACGCAGTCGGGGCTAGCGCATTCTAGGCGATTGTAATGTTTATAAAGTTGTAATGTCATTGTAAAGTTTTTTAATGCTGTTAACGTACATAGTTTTTTGTAAATGCTTGTCAAAATAGTTTTTGTTTAGTGTTTAGTATATTTAATTGTAGGATAAAATAGTTTAAAAAGTTTTAATGTAATTTAAGAATAATATATATGTATATTACCTATCTATATCATAAATTATATAGACAAATCGTCATTCCTACTATAATTGTTGTTGGGATGGATGCATAATGAGTAGACAAAAGGATTCAGAAATATCATTTTTTAAGTTACCAAAGGATAAAATGTAAATTTGTTTCATTTTTTTGTTAGGGAGGTACTTATAGTGAAAAAAGAATTAAGTAATAATTTAATTGCAGAAGTAATACCTAAGTACCTACTTACATACCTAATACTTGTCTTTAGTAATTAAAATATTAAGTTATACTAACACAAAATACTGAAATTAAAAATTTGTTTAGAACATTTTTAACTGTTTTCTGTTAGAAATTGTACTTCGGGCTTACTTGTTGTTTTATCTACCTATTTCTTACGAACCAAGCATCGCGATTCCCGACAAATGGTAACGGTATCTTGGTGGTAAAGTGGTAAATTTTTAGGAAACTAAACTTTGAGCAAATTAAATTGATAAATCATAAAAATTGTTTATATGTTGTGGTAGATTGCACGGAAACTATAAGTGATATTGCATTTGTATCTACAAGAGGTTGATAGCAAAATCAACACTCCACACTTCATGTATCGTGTACAGTTCTCTTTAGAACTGGAGAAAACTGCACTTTCACTCACAGAAAGTAGGACAAATTTTTGTGACAAAAAGTGAAAAATTTCAAATTTTTTAACTAAAATGATTGAACTATATGAGCAATGTCATAATATCATGTTGTGCGTCTCAGACCGTGATATACGCGAGTGAAACCGCGGGGCACAGCTAGTATTTTATAAACAACAGAAGAATTTCTTATGAAACAGTAGTAACAGATTTAAAAAAACGTTGATGTTAAAAATGACAAACAAAATTTTTCATTTCATTTATTGGTTTTGAGTGCACTTTTCACTAGCTAACTTTCTTATCTCAATTTCAGGTTGAAATCAAGCCCGAGATGATTGGCCACTACCTCGGCGAGTTCTCCGTAACATACAAACCTGTCAAGCACGGTAGGCCCGGTATTGGTGCCACACACAGTTCGAGGTTCATTCCTCTGAAGTAGAACTTGACTGTTTCTTCTAGGTTAAGTGGAAAATGTGCACAAGTTAACAATAAAGTTGTCTTGTGTAAATGTGTTGCATTTTTATTACTTTAAAGTTACATGGAACACTTGGCCACTGTATTGCAAATCCATGGTTTGGATCTCAGCCATTGATTGTCTTTCACATTTGTTCAAAACACAAATGTTTGATTTTAGATCTATTAGTGTTATTGTAATCTAATCCCATCTTTCATTATTACTGTATAAGCATAAAGCCAGAAAAATTATGAAAAACAATTGAATGTGTCCTCGAAAGTTTTTTTTAATTCTTAAGACATTATGCTGGCTGATGCCTCCTGATATTTTCATTAGTGAAATCAACACTTAAAATTGCAATTCGATTTAGTTTACTCACATACTTTATATGTTAAAATAAGAGCTTATCACGAGAGGTAACCTAAGAGGTACTACAATGATTGTTTGAGTGTAGATGACTTGTTAGGATGTTGATAAATATATGGTGTAATGTGGGGACAACACAATTTATTTAATTTTAATCTGCCGATAGCTTAATAAACGAATTGGTTAGCTAGTAGCTAACAGATCTACACAAATAATTAAGAAAATGAATAGGTAACAAACAAGGGGTTCTTATTTCTTAACATAGTATAAGTAATTAGTTATCTATGGTACTATACTATACAAACTTATAAAACAAGATGTACAATATAATATATTCTTAGTCACTTATCTCAACATCTCTAATTAGGTAATCTTGGAAAGATTTTTTTGACTTAATATATAAAAGTCGATGAGGCATGTTTAGAGAAATAACACCAGGCTTGAAATAACATACACAATCATATAGCCACAGACATAATTATAACATATGGCATTACTTATCTGATGATTATGTTTAGTTAAGTGTATTTGTAATGTGCTGTAATGATAATGATGATGTGCTTTATGATTTTTTGGTCAATTTGGTTCTGTGAGAGGCAACTCTGAGGCACTAGTGCATACATACATCATACACAGTTGTTATTAGGGATAACCTTATACTCTTGTGTTATATAAGTTTTAAGTTTAATTGGATATGTGTAGGTGTGGACTAGTGAAAGCTAAAATGGATGTATATTTGAAAACGTGGTTCATACCTGTCTGTATTCTACATAATATATATCATGACCGTCGACATCTAATTTTATAAGTTTTTTATTTATAGAATATGGTGACAAACGAGCACACATTCCACCTGATGGTAAGTGTTGCTGTGGCCCATAGACATCTACATTTATCCTCGCTTGCGAATCAAAATGCAGATGCGTTGTCACCCGTGAGGACCAAGATGGAATCCCTCTCTTCCAGTAAAAAGGGTCTCCGGTTCTCTACACTCACCAAACGAAACACAGCAGTTTTAAGCAACTATTTTACGCAGGTATTCTATGAGAGCGTGGTCCTTCCCCGGTCGAGCCGACAAATTCGTGCTACAGTTGTACTTTGAAGAATACTTTGATTGATTGACAACCGAATGGTATAATGGTTGGAGTACATGGCTACTACATCTTGGGTACTTATCAATATACATAAATAGGGGTTCGAATCTTGGGCAGAGATAAAATATACAACAATGAATTATTCGTTTTAGGGTCTAGTTGTGTTACATACTTAACAGTCACTGTTCGGTTTCCAGATAATAGTAAGACTATAGCAATTACCCATATGTGGGTCACGGGAGAGGGAATGGGTTAATTTATTTCCGTTATTTTCTGGGCACTGGAGAGATCGTTTAATTTAAAACCACACACAGCTCCCGTATATTTTTGGATGCTAAAACCTACTGATACAAAAAAATACGAAAGGGCCTGCAGGTTTAGATTTTATGATTAATACGGGTAATGTGACTAGGTCTATCAAAATTTGAAGGCAGGCCATGTGCACTGTTGGCGCTTTTGAAATTTTTCTGTGCAGTTGATAATTCCTGACGTCGTCGTGGTATTCAGATGTAAGCACACGACAGTTTGATAATAACCGCCTTCCAGAGCATTTTGCGTTTATGACGCACAGTTTGAGTTTAAAGTAGGACTTTGCAGAGTACCAAAAATTCTTTCGAATATACTGCTAGGAGGACGCCGGCATACGCGTTTTGCCTGCCCATCATACGGCTATACTATATTATACTATCGAATATCCTGCTGAGAAGGCGTTTTGCTGGATGTGTCGAAGTCTTGATCTGAGTACCTATCGTTAAGTATCTCTGGTGGTTACCTGTTGACTTCGTTATGACGTTTCGCGTTTGGTTTCGTTCTATAAAGGCGCATCATTATCGATTATAAACCGATATTTTTTATATTAATAAATATTTTAGTTTATAAAATGTTACTATAATAAAGAAACGCATTTGCGCAGTAATACCCACCAGAATAACACAATCGTACTGTTGTTCCTATGCAATCTATACCTAGTCAAAGAACGCAGTCGTGCCCATCATATCCAATTTACTCCTTAGATCATCATCATCATCAATATCAGCCTATCAAATCCCATAGAATGCCTTCTCGATTTTTTTTTGCCATAATTGCATTGCTTGGCGTGCGGATTTGTCAACTGCAGTGTTTTATGGTTTTGATATGTTATTCAGAAAGATACTTTTGCCCATCTCCTGTTAAAGTTTCCCTCTGTCTCCCCTTACGTGACCCACAGAATGATAAAGAAAAGTGTGATTCCCTCCTTAGTTATTGGTTCGAGGACCGTGTGAGATGAATTAGTGTTCTGTCGGTTGAGTACAGGTTGAAGTGCGGTATAAGACAGGATTGAGCTATCTTCTTATTTTATGTAGGTATATGAACCAGCTTATGATAGAAAATATCTATATGAATATATATGTTACGACTAATCTTGTTAAATAATATTAGTTGGCTAAACTTGTGTATTTTTATAAAACTGAAGTGAAAAATGAACTTTGGTACGGTCCACCTAATGGTAAGTATTGCAGTCTTTGACACCAGCCAACTTCAAATATAGTAGTCTACACATGCTTTATCTCTGAGTTTAAAGATGGAATTCAGCACAGCCTTTAATTATAATGGTTCTCTACACCCTAGCTTATGTTCGACATAATGTTCATCTGCAATAAAATTCATGACCCGAATAAATTTCATTATTCATCATTACAGCTCTTCACAAGTCCACTGCTGAACATAGGCCTCCCCTAAGGAATGCCACAAAGCGCGGTCCTGAGCCACTTATATCCATCGACTTCCTGCATGTCTTACCAGGTCGTCACTCCAACTAGTGGGGGGTCGCCCTACACTTCGCCTACCAGTACGAGGCTGCCACCCGAGAACCTTTTTTCACCATCGGTCGGTTCTACAAGCTATATGGCTGGCCCATTGCCGCTTCAGCTTACTAACCCGTTATAAATAATCCGAATAAATTTACCCCTAATTAATTGCCGCACTTTACGAGTAAGTTGCTGGTAACAGCATGTTTTTGCTACGAATAACTCGAATACACCCAAGTAATATCATCAAGTTTCTTTCATTTTTATTTCCTTCTATATTTTAGCCGATAGATGGCGGTTAAACTTAAGATAGCTTAGCAATGCTAAGTTAGCATTATAAAGGTAACCTACTATACGATCATAACTCAACCTAAGTTTATGTTATTTTATTATTTACAATAGTATTGGACGTAACATATTTATATAAAGTATTATAAGGTAGTTCTTGACTACTGTCCCACATAATGGTTAAGTGATGATGTGGCCGAAAATGGCTTATTTACTCTTGCCTTGAAGACGACCAAATTGTTATCGGATGTAAGGACATGCTGGCAAATTATTTTACGCATGACGAATGACGAAGCATAACGTTTGGTTCGAATGCGTGGTATGTACAAGACGGCAAAGAGATGGACATATATTTTATTTTATTTACGCTCACGCGTCCTTTAGTTCCCAAACAAGGCTTCTTGTATTAGAGTAGAGGTAGGTAGTTTCATGACTGGTACATATTACAATCAGAAAAGAGTCAAATTTTTTCTGTATATTTTTAATTGGGAAATATAACTGCAACTGCAGCACTGAATACAGTTGCCGTGTTAGTCCCTACCCTAATAGTAGGTAGTGAAAGTTGGGTGTGGCACAAGAAGCACGAGAGTAGAATAAATGTTGTAGAAATGCGGTCATTAAGGAGTATGCTATGGCTGCATCTGAATGACAGGGTGAAAAATTGTGTGATAAGAGATAAGTGTAGTCCATGATGATAAAGAAAGAAATGCTTCGGCGGTTTGGTCATGTTGAAAATTTGAACAAGGAAAGAGTGACAAAGCAAATTGATGTTGTAGTATTAAACGGAAGAGTCGGCGAGGGACTCCTTAGACGAAAGTTTATCGGCCAAATTGGCAATATAATGCAAGATGGGCTAGACTAGGTACTCGTCGATTAAGGGGACTCATAAGTCCTCTTAATCGACGAGTACCTATGTATGCGTAGGTAAATGGATGTAAAGGAGGCAAGAGAGGAGTGTCAGAATCGTGCCAAATGAAAGTCCGTAGTCTCTGCCTACCCCTCTGGGTGACAGGCGTGAGTGTTTATGTATCAATTAAAATATTTTTAGGGAGTTTACAAAACCAACCATTTGTATAGAAGTTGTTAAGATTCCGATTATAATGCGGGTGCCTTCAAGGCAAGAGTGAATAGACTTGTTAAGTTTATGATCTGCGGATACATCACCACTAACCTACCATCAGGTGGGATGGGTATGTAGTTAAGCGCTGGCTTAGAATACCAAAAACCAAAAGTGCCAAATTCAAATGATGTGTTATAGTAATTTATTGATTACCGTGCACCCAATTTTAAAAACATCTATCTAGATAACATGTAAACATGAAGAGAAACACCGATTCCTTTTTGAGGCACTGTCGAAAGAAAACGTACTAAATTCATTAAAATTGTATTATTTTAAATTAATCACTACTTCACCAGAGTGAACGAACTTTACTGTATACTTTACCGCACTGTAACGCAATAGCTAAGCGTGTGTCTACGGCACTACGGGGCGCGGGTTCGATTCTCGCAAGAACAA